CCTTCTTCCTTAGGGCTTCCGATTTGAGATTGGATCCGGAGGTACCTGCGTCTTCGTCCTCGGTTCTGTCTCCCTCTCCGGTGGCTTCTACCTCGGGTTCAGATCCTCAGAGCTCCCACCCCCATCAGACCGTGAGGCTGCCTGGGAGACTGGCCCATTCAGCATCACCATCAGATCCTCAGAGCTCCCACCCCCATCAGACCGTGAGGCTGCCTGAGAGACTGGCCCATTCAGCATCACCATCAGATCCTCAGAGCTCCCACCCCCATCAGACCGTGAGGCTGCCTGAGAGACTGGCCCATTCAGCATCACCATCAGATCCTCAGAGCTCCCACCCCCATCAGACCGTGAGGCTGCCTGAGAGACCGGCCCATTCAACATCACCAGCTGTCATCATCGGCATCTCTATTGTGAGAAACATCTCGGTTCCCAATGCAAAAACCCTGTGCTACCCAGGAGCACGAGTACAGGACATCACAAGGCTGCTTCCGATGCTGTTGTAGTCCATGTGGGGTCAAACGACATCAGGAGGGCTAGCTCGGAATATCTGAAAATGGATTTTGAAGAACTGATTTTAGCATTAAAAGACCCCAAAAAGTGGCCAATCATTTCAGGTCCAGTACCATCGTTGGGCCGTGGGTGTGAGAGATTCAGCAGGCTACTGGCATTACACACCTGGCTAATAGATTACTATAGCTCTGCTGGAATCACTTCTATAGATAACCTGGACACCTTCTGGAAACAGAAGATACTCTACAGGAATGACGGAGTCCATCCAAATCATTTTGGCTCCTGGACTCTGTCCACGCATTTCAAGGCTGCGTTGAAACAATGACTTATCAATGACCCAAGACCAGCTCAGTTAATCCCGACCATTGTGACAATGAGCCGTCATAAAATTGCATCAAATGTACATTATCCCAGGGGCGTTGGCAGACAATATAAGTAACTTAATTTATGTCCCCCTAATTGCCCTGGATACCTCTGTTGATCCTACAGCTATTGTATGCAGTAATCATGAGCCTATGAACCAGAGTTATACTGTTAGCACTGAGGCGGTGTGCCCTAGTAGGAAGTCCATTGTGTACAAATACATGTCTTCATTTGGTGTGGCAGTGCACCTGTGTTTGAAATCTCTCCCCACTAGAGGGCACTGTTCACCTTCGGGTTACTATCTGGCTTAAACAGATGTCTATCTCTCCCCACTAGAGGGCACTGTTCACCTTTGGGTTACTATCTGGCTTAAACAGATGTCTATCTCTCCCCACTAGAGGGCACTGTTCACCTGTGGGTTACTATCTGGCTTAAACAGATGTCTATCTCTCCCCACTAGAGGGCACTGTTCACCTTTGGGTTACTATCTGGCTTAAACAGATGTCTATCTCTCCCCACTAGAGGGCACTGTTCACCTTTGTGTTACTATCTGGCTTAAACAGATGTCTATCTCTCCCCACTAGAGGGCACTGTTCACCTTTGGGTTACTATCTGGCTTAAACAGATGTCTCTTAACTAACTTCACTCACTTTCACTTACTTGCTCATTTCTTTGTTTTCAGTCGTGTTATCTGCAGCATAATTGTTCTAGAATAGGCCTACCCTCACAGTTCTAGAATAGGCCTACCCTCACAGTTCTAGAATAGGCCTACCCTCACAGTTCCAGAATACCCTCCCAGCAAAAGCATTATTGCCTCTGTATCTTGGTAAAATAGACACTACCACTTTTTCTGATATGGAAATATGCAGTAGCATTGACTGGTTGTGTTGGCCCACATTTTCATACATGTTGAACACTAGGTGGCACTATACACCTAATAATGGTACAATTGTTTCTGGACTATATTCCACCCCATGAGTATTATACCATAGATTTCAATGTGATTGGAATATTTACAAAGATATTTGACCTTTGTGCACAGAAGGTTTCTGTCATGTATTTTGACATTTAAAATGAAAGGCTAATGCAATACTCTCTTTGTGCAGAGTAGCTGCAGCTCAGTTGGTAGAGCATGGCGCTTGCAACGGCAGGGTTGTGGGTTCGATTCCCATAGGGGGCCAGTATGAAAAATGTATGCACTCACTAAGTCGCTCTGGATAAGAGCATCTGCTAAATGACTAAAATGTAAATGTAAAATGTAACGTAAATGTCTCTTCCTCCTCTCTGTGGCCTGACAAGTGTCTGACCTGCATTTGTGTTTGCATCAGAAATGCAGTATGAATGTTAATACGGTTTCCAGTTGTATTAGTCATATGTACAGGATACACATGGTATACATCGTTCAACCAAATGCTTACTTGCAAGTGTTGTAGAAAATTGTATTTTTCCTCAGTCAAACACAAAGTACTTTCAGAGTTTTTGTAGAATTAAGATAGACTTTATTACAGATAATATAGCCGAGGTGATCTGCAGAGCATCTAACTTTCCACCTCTCAGCTCTCAGTTTTAGTCATTTTACATATATTTTAGCTTAACCCCTCCCTCCCTGGTTCCTCCACCACTGTCTCCAGTTTTCACCTCTTGACCGCTCCGCCCACTTCCTTAACGGCGGTATCTGACTTCACTCCCTTCTAGTTCCATGTCTGGAAACAATAGTGGTGGGACCAAGCCCTGTCATGCAGAAATAAGAGTCCTTCCCTGGACTCTTAATTGATTCCCAAACCTAACAATCGATACTTAAACATGGCAGGCCATAATCAATCTCTCAAACATATACAAGCCTCCTGTATCACTCCGTCTCAACGCCCCTCATGCTGTGATCAACCATGTTTAGTCTGAACTCTGTTCAACCCTGGCTTCGTTCCAGGACTATGCCTGAGGAGAGAGGCAAAGGGCAGCAGTCTGGTTTCAGTCACTGATAAGGTAGGACAGCTGTGGATTAGGGAAGGAGCGAGGAATTTGACCTGAAGACAGGTCAGATGAAAAGAGAATCAACAGTCCTATTTCCCCCAAATACCAGGCAGGGCAGTGACTACACCAGGGAGAGGAACCAATTACGTTCTTGCCTAGCAACAGAGATGTACCCATGTTTAACCCTGGCTCCGTGTTCGTCATATTGTGATTAACTATGTTTATCTTATAGTCTACTGAGTCTGAAGAGATGTAACTATAGTCTACTGAGTCTGAAGAGATGTAACTATAGTCTACTGAGTCTGAAGAGATGTAACTATAGTCTGAGTCTGAAGAGATGTAACTATAGTCTACTGAGTCTGAAGAGATGTAACTATAGTCTACTGAGTCTGAGAGATGTAACTATAGTCTACTGAGTCTGAAGAGATGTAACTATAGTCTACTGAGTCTGAAGAGATGTAACTATAGTCTACTGAGTCTGAAGAGATGTAACTATAGTCTACTGAGTCTGAAGAGATGTAACTATAGTCTACTGAGTCTGAAGAGATGTAACTTGTCTACTGAGTCTGAAGAGATTAACTATAGTCTACTGAGTCTGAAGAGATGTAACTATAGTCTAGTCTGAAGAGATGTAACTAGTTCTGAGTCGAGAGATGTAACTATAGTCTACTGAGTCTGAAGAGATGTAACTATAGTCTACTGAGTCTGAAGAGTATA